TGATTTTATTTCATGTATTAATTTTTTTTTTAAAAGCTTCATTTATATTTTAATTTTTACATTTATTGGCTAATTAAACATTTAATATCAACAAAAAACAATCTGATAAACCATTCATTTCAAAAAAAATAATATAAGCACAATATGATTTTTTTTTATTTTCCCATTTCTCTATTTTTGTCAATTAAATCAATGGCATTCATTCATTTACTCAACAAAATGTTAACAAAATCATTGTTAAAAAGCAATATCCATGTTTCCATTAACTGTTAAAATCTATTCAATATTTGTTGGATAAAATAAAATACTTAACCAATCACGATATTGAAGATCATAAGCCAATCAAATGGATATTCAACCATGCTGACGTGACCATATTAATATTGATAATTATTGTTTGACCAATTATAAATAAACCCGATTTTTGTGGTACAAAAAAATTTATGGAAAATTTCTATGAGAAGGAGTATCAATACCATCAATATGACGATGATGACAATGGTATTGTTGTTGATGATAATTTTACAAATGAACTAATAAACATTTCCGATAGTTCATTGGCTTCAAGTTCCAATGATTTAAGCAGTGGTTCCAGAAGACCTTTAAAAAAACAAATCGTAACGCATGATTTTGTGTGGAATTATTTTGAAAAAGTGAAAGATCCAAATGGAAATGAATTCGTAATTTGTAAATTGTTAATAATAATGAAATATTAATATTAAAAAAAAATAATTGGTCGACTAAGGACCTATAAATGAGTTTCATGTTAGCCATTTTTGTCTAGACAAATATCCATGACACATTACGCCAGTAATATTTAAGCACTATTGATTTCCGAAATTCTTGGTAATACCAATCAATCAATGCATATTTAAAAAATATTTTTTTCTTTCAAAGTTTCAAATAAAATATACTACTATTTCATTCATTAATACATACATAGATATTTGTTTATTTAAAAAATCATGTCTGTCAGCAAAGCAAAAGATTTATCAGTAAACTTGGAATCCAAAACAATACGAGTAGTGTTCATAGCTTTATTGCTTGATATTTTGGCTTTTACAATAATTTTACCACTTTTTCCTAGGTTATTAGAAGACTATCGTGAAAGAGAAAAAGGTGATGAGGTAAAGTTCCAAAATTAGTCGATGTTTATTTATCTTTTCACATATACATAATTCCATACACATTATTTATTTTAAATATTTTTATGTTTTAGACAACATTGTTAAGCTGGTTTCTTAATCAAATATCCATATTCAAAGAAGCGATAGGTGGAAGCGTTGGTAATAATCCTAAATGGGATTTGGTGCTGCTTGGAGGTGCTTTAGGTTCACTATATTCATTTTTACAGTTCGTTGCTTCACCATTTATTGGAGTATTTTCAGATCGTCATGGTCGTCGAAAAACTTTATTGCTTACCATGGTTAGTGATAGTAATAATAATAAATAATAATAATAATAATAAAATAATAATAATAATTAATAATAATTAATATTAACAATTGATTTAATAAAATAAAATATTTATTAGATTGGCAATATACTATCTACAGTTATATGGCTTTTTGCAAAATCATTTGGATTATTTGTATTGGCACGTGTAATTGGCGGATTAAGCGAAGGAAATGTCCAGTTATCAATAGCTATAGTTTCAGATGTTACAACTCATAATTCCAGATCAAAAGGTTTGGTCAGTATATATTTAGTGATTGTTATTATAGATTAATAATAACAATAATAAAATATTGATATTCTTAATATTAATATTAGGCTTTCGTAGGAATAGCTTTTGCAATTTCATTCACATTAGGACCTGCGATAGGTGCTTACTTTGCATCAATAGATTTAACCCACTCCTTTCCAACGCTTGTTGATTGGGGCTTAAATCCTTACTCAACACCAGCATTTGTAGCATTATTACTTTTAATCATTGAAACATTATATTTATATCTATTATTACCAGAGACTGCAAATATCAAACCAAATAAGAAAAAAGATATTAAAAAAGAGATAAATAATTTAACAAGCAAAGATGATCAAAAAATATTAGTTTCAAAAAAGCTCGAAAATTTAAAAATTCTCAATTGGATACATTTTCTTTATTTATTTTCCTTTTCAGGAATGGAATTCACCCTTACATTCTTGACGTATGATTTATTTGATTTTTCAAATATGCAAAATGGCATGTTATTAGGCTATACCGGTATCCTATCAGCGGTCATACAAGGTGGATATGTAAGAAGGAAAGCTAATAAAATTGGTGAAAAAAATATAGTAATACAAGGCATTACTTCGAGTGCAATTGCATTGGGAATCATTTCCCTGTTAACAAAAATCAATAATGCCATCATTTGGCTTTACATTGGTGCTACTTTTCTTGCATTTACTTCAGCAACAGTAGTTAATTGTTTAACATCTTTAGCATCAATGCAATGTGATGGTGATGAAAATGACGATGATGGACTTACTATTACTTCTTCAACCAAAGAAAAATCTGAAATTATAAAAATACCAAAAGGCGAGGCTTTGGGCAGATTTAGATCATCGGGTCAATTAGGAAGGTCATCAGGTCCAATTGCTGCATGTAGTTTATATTGGATGGCCGGTTCTGAAATCTGTTATGCAACTGGATCGTTGGCAATGATTATAATAATAATAATTATGATTATTAAAATACCTTCTAATATTTCTATAAAACAAAAGGCACAATAAAATACTCACCCAAATAAATATCACTCGTAATTTTATAAAAAAAAATTTTTTTTGCTTTTTTTATGATCATCATTTTGAATAATAATAATGATTCTTCTGAACCGTAATAGAAATCAACGAGCATGAAGTCACGTGCAATTTTAATATTAACGAAACATAAAAAATAAGTCATTTATATATATTACAGTATTAAATAAAAAGAACATCATATAATAAAATTAAAACAGATATTGTAATAATAAGTTATAGATGTTGATATTTTGCATATTTCCAATATCCTTGATTCCATCTGACAATTACATAAGGAAGAAGAAGTGATTTTACAAACCAAGGCATTTTACTATAAAGCATGATATCTCTATCTTCTTGAGGCAAGTGTAAGAGTATAAATGGGAGAATAGTAGTTAACCCGCCATCTTTTCTAACTGCATCTTTGATTTGTTTTTGAATTTTTTCAAGTTCTTGCTCTGTAAAATTTTTTCGCAAAGCTTCAACTGAAAAGGTGACTTCTTCGTTTTTTAAATGAGGAAGAATGAGTTTACTTATTTTCGTCATCAAGTCCACTATTTTTGATGGTTCATAAGTCGCTTTCTTATTTTTAACTTCTGAAGTGTAGTTGGACAAGCTATGGAGAAATTTATTGAGTTGTTTGTGTTCTTCAACAAAGTCGCTGATAGGTATTTTTTTGGATACTGAGGGAAAGACTATGTGTTCCTCGTGATGATGATGACTCATGAAAAGAGAATTGAATGTTTCGATGTATCCTATAAAATTTTCAACATCAGAGGTGGGTACTTTTGGAGCATTCTAAAGAAATAATGCATTTTATAAAATTTTTAGATGATTTTTTCGTTGTCAAGAATCCATATTTTTTTTCGGCACATGTTACCTCTAAAATTTGAACCATCCCCGCTCGAAGTGTATCATGAATTTTAATCATTCCATAAGTAAAATTTTCGAAAACGTCATCAGATTCATTAGGCGCCATGATATTTTTTTATTTGAAATATATAATTTTTTTTTTGTAAGTGACGATGGTAAATTCAAAAAATGAACTTGATGTCCGAGGTTTTTTATAACATATTGAATTAAATATTTTTTTACTTTTATATCGTATTTTATTTGCATAATAAATAATAAATAAAGTCATTCGACTTTCACTACTACTACACAAAGACTAATTGGTAAACATGGTAATAATTTTAATAAGAATAGATGTCCTTTTTAAAATAAACAAATAACAAATATTTATTATTGTGATAATATTTTCATAATAATTAATAATAGTAATAATTTCGTCCGATTCTTTCAACACCTTTTTCTTTACTATTAGTACTAGAATCTAATATTGTTATTATTGTTAACTGATGGAAATAAAACCTAAATTAACGATTAACGATTAATAAATTTCAATGAATTAACATTTATATTGCTGCCGATTTCCCAGACTCCATTGTTATTTATTAAATGATTATTGTACGATAATGATGAATAATAATAATAATACATGAAGTTGAGAAAACTACAGCGTTATTTATACATGTTAAAGGTTCTATCATCTAGTTTCTGATTTTTTTGATATACTAATTTGTTCTAATTAAATTCAAGTTATATCAAACCATTTAAATTCCTTCGTTTAAATTTAATCTGATAATTAAAGGTCTGTTACATTTTAGAATGTTGGAATGTTTATTTCTCCGTTGTTTGAGATATTTTCCATGAGTCAATTATTCTATTGGTATTAATTTATTACAGTGATCAGTTTTTCAGATTTTCTTTTTGTGCAGCTTTCGTAAAATTACTATTTTATGCATTTCAAAAAAGAAAAAGGATATTTATTATAAAAATGGTAGAACTGAAAATGTGGATAACAATTAAAGCAATGGAGTAAAAAATGTGGATACAAAGTGGAACTAATACTATCAATAAGATGCAAATACACCCATCAAGCAGAAAGATTGATGAGCAACAAGGTCTTGTAAAGCCTATGTGATAAATATTTTTACTTGCACAAGTAGAGTCAGGTGTATGTACAGATGATTGTGAGAAGGAGAAGGATATATTTATGGAATTTTAGGGAAATAACATCATCATCATCATTCTCTCAATTCTCTTCATCCAACATCCCAACACCCCCAATATCATTCTCATCCTCATCCTCAACTTGTACTGAATAAGTCATTCAGAATGTGCTTGAGCTGCAACTATTACCAAAATTCTAAAAGACAAAAGTAGCTGTTTAGTCATCAAGATTCTCATTCTTAATTCAAAAGCAAAGACCACCAGTTGTAAACCTTTACTAAGAAAAAAAGACTTTATAAAAGTGCAAAAAATCAAAACAACATATTTCTCAGGCAGGAATACACTCCTTTTAAAGTTACAAGTGATCAAAAAGAGATCAGTTTTGAATGGTATTATAGATTCTTCTTCTGATTCAAGTTCAAATAACAAAAGCAATAAGTCCAATGATGTGAATCAGAAGATAAACTCAATGTAGATAATGAATTTGATGTAGGTAGTGAACCTGATGTAGATAATGAACCTGGTATAGTTAGTGTACATGATGGAGTTAATGAATTTTCTATTGTTAGTAAATCTAATATCATAAGTAAATTATAATTCAATGTCAAAAAAAATTATTATTAGGAATTAACTTATTTTGGTATTATATTTAAAAAAATTGGGTAAAAGTTTTAGTCAATTTCAATCTGTTCTTCATTTACTCAAAAATAAAAGAACATTCAATTATATTACAAACAATATTGATCATAAAGATGAAAGAGATTCTAAAAAAGCTATTATCAAAAATTATTATAGAAAATTAAACAGCATTATTATTATTGTATATTGTATATTAGTTAATTGCAATTTTATTAAATTCATAATTTAAATTCTTACATTGTGCAATATGTTATGGGTATGTGCCTCTGTCATAATCTATAATTTTAACAAAGTTCGTTCAATAATGCCTAGGCAATTCAATTGATTCATACATTATGGATTTAAAGTTATGATGGTATTTATGGATCTTTTGAATTTTCGAAAGCAAATAGGGCTTCATTTCCATTACTGACTCTAACTGCTTTGCACTTCATGTCACTAAGGATATACAATTAATTATATTTTTAACAAAAAAATAATTTGGTAAAA